CCCCAAAACCCCAAAACCCCAAAACCCCAACTTGCGCAGTTAGTAAGATTTGAATAGAATTTAAAATTTATTTGAGAGTTAACAACTAATTTTATTTTATCAAAGTAAACAAAGACCACTAAAATAATGTCTCACCACAGTTAGATAGATACACCAAATGATGACAACCAGAGAAGCTACGGTTTCATTAGTCCTTCAAGACACGAGCCCCCCGGTGGTAGAACCTCATTCTATCAGCAGCAAAGCAACAACTATCAAGCCCAGGGATATCTCTACGGATCAAGCTTCAATCCAAGAGATACTCTCTCATCACAAAATTCCCAACCATTGAGATTTTCAGGCTCCCAAAGTCATTTGCTTAGTGGTAATAAGGGTGTTTAAAGCAACGGTTTCTAGCAGACCCAATTATAGCAGAGGGAGATCCCAAGAGTGGGTGCTGCCCAATAATTGAATGCCAGCACTGTTCATCATCAATCGTCTTCTCATATTGCAATAACATAACCGAATGTTCAAGCCAATTAGTCAGTTATATTGGTTAAATCAGAAGAAACCAGAGACAAAATCATAAGCTCTTATAGAGAGGAGATCAAGGTTCAACCTCAGAGAGATAGAGATTACCGCCATTTGAGTGATTTAATTGCAGACTTACAAAGGAGAATCAGATCACTCGAGGGAAACTTGTCTGATTCCCAAAGAGAACATGAGGAGTCACTAAGCTCTCAGTAAAAGATCATCCACCATCATTAAGGAGAGATTGAGTCATTGAAGAAGACCATTGTTGACAGAGAGCAAGAGGGTATTAAAGTGTATGATGAAATCGCAGCAACCAAGAGAGAAATTGAGGATAGAGATTCAGAGATATACACAACTAGCAGAGACATTGATACTGTTAGAAAAACTAATGAACAATTGAGAAGAGAAATTGAGTTCCTTCAATAAGATATCAATTAAGCTCAAGATGTGAAGAAGAGACAACAGTAGGGCATATATCAATTGAAGAATGATCTTAGATTCCAAGATAAGGAAGTTGATGAACAACAGTCTAGAGTTGTTGTTCTAGATAAAGAAGCTAAGAATTTGAATGAGAGAGCAAAGCATCTTACTGAGACCCTTGATTAAAAATCTATCATTGTCGAGAGAACACTAGTCAAGCAAGATGGACTCGACAGAGACATCAACATTCTGAAGCAAAACATCATCTCTATCGATGTTGATATTAATGATGTTGAGAGATCAAACGATAGATAAATTGAACTCCAAAAGCAATTACTCAGACAAAAAGATCAAGAAATTGTGAGATCGTAAGATTAAACTTATCACTTGAGAGAACTTGAGGCTAGAAATAAGGAGGCCGAGATCCAAGTTGAACATCTCAGAAAAGACTTAGATGGAGTTAGATACTCCAACGATGCTCTCTTGGATCGCAACCACGATCTCAAGCTTGAACTTGAGTCTCTAAACGGCCACTCAGAGCTCTTGACATCGTAGAACAGAGAACTTCAAAGAGAACTCGATTCTTTCGTAGAGACCGATGATGTTGTCAGAAGAAACCTCGACAGAAAGGAAAAGGTCATTCAAATCAGACAGCAAGTTGATGAGGTCATCCAAAAATCAATTGTAGACTTGGTCGCAAGATCTCCCAGAAGAGCTAGATCCCCAGTCAAGTTTGAGGGATACTAATCAGCCAACGCTGAGACCTCATACTACCAACAACAATAATTCGGTGGTAGCCACGGTGTTCATCAACAATAGCAGCTCCACAACACTTCCCACTTCTACAGAAGCCAAAGAGAGGAGCAAGCCCCAGTTCAACAACTCGACTAATCATAATTGAGAAAGAGTCAATTCGCTGAGAGTGTAAACTTCAGAGGATCCCCACTCAGAAGAGGCCAACTCGAACACCAATACTGAAATGATAGCAGATTATCTCTCTTATGAAGTCAACTTTTTGTTTTATTTTCACTTTATATAAGGCTTAAGTTATTTGCAAATCCTTTACTATCCACTTTTTTTCTTCCAAAGGGGTTTTGGGGTTTTGGGGTTTTGGGGTTTTGGGG